TGCATTTTCAATCAAGAGTTCACTTTTTCATGTTTAATAATTTTCAGAATTTGAAATATAGTTATGTTCTGTGGTTAAATTGTGGCAATTTATACATTTGATTTAATCAAAAAAGAAAAATATGAATACTTAGAATCTTATGGTTATAAAATATTTTAAATAAGAATGAAGCAAATATACATATTTTTGCTGCAGAGGTATATCATAGTAATCATTCAAAAACAGCATAACTATTATTTTAAAAGATCAAAATTTAATTACTGGAAATTATATCCTTTGCAACAACTTAAACTTAGAATAAAAATTCTATTTTAACTTAAAAATGAGTTAGCGGCTATGTAACTTTTCAAAAATCTCTTGTAGGCTGTTGGTGACTATGGTTGAAACCCTGTGTTGAAGCTCAAGGGAACATTCACTGGGGGGTCATCTTGGCTCCAGAGAGAAACAAAATAGAGACCTACCAGCATGGGAGATGCAGAGCACATCCAGACTGGGGGCCCTACTTTTTTAGCTCACGTCCAGGTTTGTGTCTTGGGAAGGTACAAAACTGTGGAAGTTCAAAACATACATACCCTACAGGTTTTAGGTGAGAGAGGCACAGGAGCTGTTTCCTGGCACGGGAGTTGTTTCCAGGAAACAGAAAAATTTCCGATTCCCTGAAGTGTGTTTGGTCATAGCTGAAAGCACACCTTCCTTGAACACATGATGCAGTAGGAACAAGGGAGAACTCAGAGGACACTTAGGTAGGAACTAATGGCAAAGTTAGAAAAATGATGTGGCCACAGAGCCAGTATAGATGAACAACATCAGATATCAATTGAGCTATAACATTTAACCATTCTGAAGTGTACAAGGCATTGTCATTCACATTGGTTGCATTCAAATTGACTTTAATCCAGTCTTTATTTTTTTTTTTTTTTGGTGGCACTGGGATTTGAGTTCATGGCTTCTTGCTTGCTAAGCAGGGACTTTATCCCTTGAGTCACTCCTCCTGATCTCAACTGAACTATTTAGATGCACAAGTAAAAGAGATAAATGCTCAAATAAAATAAATATTTTTGCCCTCCTTACTGAAAAATAATTGTATAGAGTATAAGAACTTCACACTTATTAATTTAATTCTCACAACACAATATGAAATCCATACTATAATTCCAATTTTAGTGAATGTAATAATTCATTGATAGGGATTAAGAAACATTTCCAGATTATACTATTTAGAAGTAGAGAAACTGGAACAGGAATTTGAAGCATAAATTGAGATTTGTTTTGGAGTAATAAATTGAATATAGCCATTTTTTGCATTTATGGGTGTACAACCCATGGATGCATACATCCTATATGTGAATATAAAGAAGTTGGCAAGAGTGCATTATATGTCTTAGGTTGTATGGCTTGGGTCAGTCACATCTCTGTCATTGTTTTCTGTGGCCCATTTTTCTGACTCATAAGACAAACTGTCAATATTAAATCATAGTTTACAACATTTTCTCATTAAAGACAGGACTTTAATCGTGTCATGTGGACTAGAAGTGAAGATGATTATAATTTATCCTCAAAATCAACACAAAGAAAACTTAAAGCATACAACTTCTTTTTCCTATTTAAAATGTAGGGATAACATTATTAAAAAACCTAAGAAAGCAGGAGGTTCTTTATATGCCATGAGCCAAGTGGTAGAGCACCCGCCTAGCAAGCATGAAGCCTTGAGTTCAAACCCCGGTACTGCCCCCCTTAAAAATCAAAGAACTTATCTTAAGGAAATGATAGTACTATTTTCAATATATGTATGGCCAAGGATCATACATATATTGAAAAATATTCAAAGAAACATAGGGACGACTTTTATTTTCATAATAATGCTATTATATGTCCATTTTGCCTTGCAGAAAAAATGAAATTTTTGACCACATAAGATCTTTGGATGACCTCTTTTTGTGTGAATAACTCAGAGGTGAAAAGAAAACACAAGGAATAGAAACCCACCATTTTTGATCTGAGGGGTTGTGAGGTAACCTTACATAGAATAAACAGTTTTAATGTGTTTGTTATAATGCCATTTTTAATAGCACTTTATGTAAGTAACACTCATAGCATAGCAACATAATAGCCCTGAGAAACACACAATTCAAACTATTTGAGAAGTAGGATTTTATGAGGTGAATAGACAAATACATTTGAGTCACTAGAATGAGGAGCATTTTGTTTTTAGTCTCAGAGTTCTTTCTTCTCTAGATACCTGTATAGCATGAAGGTAACATTACTATGAAGCCATAAAAATTATAATATATACCAGAGAGCTCTGAAGAAAATAATTTATTGACAATAAATTATTGTCAATAGTTCACCAGTTGGCCTGTTCAGAGAATCTTCTTTATTTGTTTTGATTTTGCAGAGGGATTTGGATTCTCATGCAAATATTGGTTAGTTAAAAGGATGGTAAGATAAACTATTAAGAAAAAAAATTGTTCTCCACAATGGTCTTCTACAGCTTTATTGTTATGCGTAGAATTCAATAAAATTCATCCTGTCTGGTGGTGCAAACATTTCTGCTTACTTAGTCTGCTTATTTCCTTGTCTACATTTAAGCTTTTTAATGGACTTAACTATGTGCAAAACAAAGCTTAAGGTCTCTTTTGACTTCAGCTAGCAGAACAGATGTGGGAAACTCATTGTTTTTCTCAAAAATTCCATTTAGGTAAGAGGCACAAGGCATCACAATTATTACAATTATTAAAACACATCAAATTATTTTAAAACTAAGGTTAAGTTGAAATATAAGTAAAGGAGACAGAGAGAAAAATGAGGCAGTTAGGAGTAGTATAAAATTATTGGTTTGGAAGGTTGTTCTGACAAATTTTAAATTTTGCTGATCCTTTTAATCTACTCACATTAATACAGATTGAAAAGTCAGAGGTAGACAGAAGAAAGCTATCGAATAGTTCTGTCACTCAGAACTATGAATTAATTTATGGTTTCTTTCCTGTCACTTTATCTGGTGAGGTGTTACCTGATCCACTCACTGACGGTTCCCCAACGGAATCACTGGCATTTAACTTGACATAGAACACATCTGAAAGATTCCATACTGTTCTAGCATGCTGTTATATTCTAAACAAAGAAAATATTATGACATTTATTGAATACTTATCATATAACATGCTTTTGCCTAGAACTTCCCTAGTATGAACTTACGGAGAATACTAAAGCAGAGAGAAGTATTAAAAACTTTCCCAAAATACGATAGTGAGCTTGGATTAAGTCTAGGTAGTTTGACTCCAAGGCTCATGAACTCCTAAACAATAATTTTAAAATAATGTGGACTAAATGTACATTGAACAGTTATATATAGACATGGATAGATATGCAATACTAGGGATAAAATGTGTCTCTATTTTCATATGTGTGCAATATTTTGGAAATATACACAAAAGACTGATGACACTGGATGACTTTAACTCTGGGACTTGAATGAAGGCTAATAGTATAAGAACAGCTGTCCATGTCTATCCTTCTGGAAGTTTTAAATCTTGAAACATGTACATGAGCTACTTTTTAAAAAATGGACAAATAAGTAAATTTTTGAAAAATTCTAAGAATTCAGTGGATGCTATTATATTAACAAATAAACTCTGCATTAAAAAGAAAAGTAAAAGACAACCTTAGGGGAAATTCAATATGTTTTATTTTGCTAGGTAAATGATTTCTTTAATATCCAATTAAATCTTGGTGTGTTAACTACATTTAGTTTGCTTTCTTACACAGAGTGAACACTTGCTGTAATGACAGTTTCATCATACTAAAATCTATTCACAAACCTACACCTTGAAAAAAGTGCACTTCTAGGAAATTTTATATACAATACAAATGAAAAATATGTTAAATCATTAAGTTGCCAAACTACACAAATTCAACCAACCAACCACCAATATTAAGTTTACATTAATGATATCTTTGACAAAGAAAATCTTCTTTACAAATTTGGCAGAATTCAAGAAGAATTTCTATATCTTTAAAAATAGTGAAAGTATACAATTTAATGATGGTTGAAATAGAAGGTATTAAATAGCACAAATAATATTATGAAGCTAAACACCATCATTGTTTATCAGTTTGGAAGAACATAAAGCAAAGGGAACTGTGTTAACTTGCCTTTAAATTTGGTACATACAATAGATTGATCATAAACACAAATACCTTGCTATTTGTCCAGGTAGAGGCGAATGTTAAGTGTAGGACTTTTAAGAAGGCAAGCCATTTGCAGAATAAACTGATTTAGAAGTTATCTTAGAATAACACACATTTGCACCTATAGCTTTTTAAAAATAAATTTGAGTGTTCTTTATGTTGTGCATTTTCACTGTTATTTTTGTCACACCAAGACTTCCTCTTACATTATTGAATTGTACCATTATTTAAATAATAAGTTATATTTTTTGATTTTGATTAATGACCACATTCATTTTGTCAAGGATTTTAGTTACTTTTTTCCCTTTGATGCTGGGGTCTTCTTCACACTAAGCATATATTCTACCACTGAGCCGTACCCCCAGTCTTGATTTTACTCCTTGAAGTTTTATATTGCAATATTCAAAAAGGTAATATATCTGCCTTGATTACCATCTTTATGAATTGTTAACTAGAAATAATGTTTTATATTAAATTTCATTAGTTATTTGGTGCAATTTCTATTTTTACCTGGAAGCATAACAAATATCTTAAAAGTAAATGAAACAAACATAAAAGTTGTATATATATTTTGTAAAACATGAGAATATGAAGAAGTTTCTCACATTTCTCCTATCTAATTTTTAATTTGGACAAAATAATTTTAGTATTGAATTTCTGTAATAAAACTATCCAAACTTATAATTAGAAGATAATTAATTTATCACTAAAGTTGCCACATTGATACTTACTAAGAACCGAACATGTATCAACATTGTTTTAAAAGAATGTTTGAATAACAAACAGTATAAATCAAATACAAATAAACAGACTAAAGCATGTGTAATATAATGTCAGAATCTTAAAGAATGTCTATTTTTTGTTTAATTATACTATTTTTCTTGCTTGATATATTGAGAACATCTCCATCACACACAATAATTATAAAACATTGAAATTTGGACGAAAATCAATATGACATGTGAAATTGAGTTTTTAAAAAGTGGCAGTTAATCACAGAACTTGGTTATTGTAGAAAATGAGCCACGTTTGTTTGGAAATCCTCTTGATAACTAATTTTCTATGTTGATTTTTTTTCCTTTTTGATGAATTCACCCTTCCCATGTAGAAGTTTGATACTTCGAAATGTTTTCTTCTTACATTGTTTAATTTGTCATGCAGAGTAGAAAATTAAAATCAAAACAGTGCTCAATTAAATAGTGTAAGATTATATTTGTCTACAATAACTTAAATTACTTCCAAAAAAGAAAGTGCTTTTGTTTACAAGACAATAAGATAACAATATACACCTAAATGTTTACTGATTCATCTCCCATCAAACATGTTTACGGTATGGATTATTCATTTCACCTACCAGAAATAAGAGAACAAAGATCAATGAAAGATATCAGCAACTGACAAATTTTACAATTTTAAAAAAGCAATACTATATTTTACGGAAGCATATTAACTAATCATTTTCTCCTTGTGAATCATTCATGTTTTTATACACTACTTAGATGCCCTCTTCCCTATCATTAATCTAGTCTACATTTCTTTTGATGGTCATTCTATCACATGCATTTACATGATGTTTACTACATGAAAGTTCTGAACTTGAATTTGTTTTCACATATAAAAACCATTGATGATTAGAAATTTAAACCCCTAAAGCAGGGAAAAATATCACAGGGTATAGCCCTCGCTCAATCGAGGGATGTAACAGTTCTACTTTTGTAGCCACCACATTGATTTTGAAGAAAAGATGAATAAAGATATAAATAAAATCTGGGTTAAGTTAAATATTTATATGCACCATGAGGACCATGACATGTCTAGTGCTAGTCAATATTATACAAAAAAATGCATGCTCACTTCAGTTCATGTCAAACTCACTTTAGGAGTGAGTAATCACCTTTTTGTCAGCTATTTCGCATGGGAAAAGTACAAGATTCTTTGCTCAGTATTTGATCGCTGAGGACAGAGCATTTGTTAGGGAGGCACAGGCCCTTGGAAGACACTATTATGACTCTGGCAATTGGTTCCTCCTGTTTCTGCTTTTCCGGCTGTTGATGAGAGCCTTCAGCTTGCCGTAGTCCCCTCTCATCTTCTTTGGTTCTTCTCCCTGGTGATGTTGCTGTCGAGTGTCTTTGCAGTACTGATTGATCATCTGCATTTCTGAGTGGCTGAATGCCCCCAAGATGTCCTTGGGGTGGAAGGACAGAGCCCTCACAGAGCTGGCCCAGGTCCACGGAGACCATTTGTCTGTCACAACGGCCACCATTTCTGAATCTAAAACTTTGAAGTTAATCTTGGCTATGGTCTGTTTGAAGCTGTTTTCAGTGGCAATGCAGTGATACAGGCCTTGGTCAGAATCTTGAACAGAGCGAATCAAGAGTCCTTGGGAAGTGGCTATGATTCTCTCATTCAGCTTAACCTGAAAGAGACACAAAGTTCTCAAAACTGAAGACTATACTTTCTAAAAAGGTATGACCAAATTTAGTGAAAACATTGAATTCAAATTAGCTTCATTCCCAGTAGACACAAATTTTTGGTTAATTGCACTGCTGTTTGTTCTTGTTACATATGAAAGATCTTGCAACATGATTACTGAATTGATTGAAGGGAGAGTGAAGGTATTACCTGTGTTCTAAAAATAAAGTACATTTTCTTTGGCTAGATTGAGCAAAGTAGCTTTCATCACCTATAAACACAGAATTTTGGTTGCTTTTGGAATCTGAACCACAGGCAATGTATATAAATGAAATTCATACATAATTTAAAATATCCATTTCATCTGAGAGTTCTTTCACTTTTACAAAAATATTAGCAAAAATATGGATCGATTATTAAAGAGTTGACATTTTTCACTTTCTAATGTGTGAGTATTTTAAATAAAGAAGTATATGGGCAGAGCTCTGAATGTTTTCAAGGGTGCATTCAAAGTCACCACACACAAAAGTGAAAGCCAAAAAAAAAAAAAAAAAGCATAGTATCAAAAGAAGGGCAGTAGAATAAGATTATAAAAGAGAGAATCATAAGGAAGACGTAAGGAACAAAATTTTGACATTAATTTTTTGAGTTTGAGTATAGTTCAAAATAATTCACATACTAAAGAAATGGACTTAGGAATTAAAGAAAAGAAAGGCTTTCCTATTTGTGCAAAATTGAAAAAAGTTTCTTGAGGCCTATTTATAATACCCATAAAATATGGCCATAATATGTAGTGCAGTGTTTTCTTTCAATGATTTTTTCTGAGACAGGATCTCACCATGTGGCCCAGGCTGGGCTTGAACTCATGACCTTCCCACATCAAGCACTTCCCTTATGAGTGCTAGGATTACAGGTATGCACCATCATGCCCATCTCTAGCAATTACTTTTCTAAAATTTTACTTGGAGGATAAACTCCAGCTAATTAGAAGATATATTCTCACAAGTATGCAGATATTTGTTTACAAGAAGAAAGATAAGAAACAACTTAACTAGTAAACAGCATTAAAGCAATTACAGGTATGCTCATGCAACAGAATACTGTGTAGTCAAGAAGAAAACAGGGAGCTCCACATGTAGTGACTTGAAGGTGTGTGTGTGACTGGGGGACATATTTGGAGGGATATAAAATGACTAAATACATAACTCCTCTGAACTTGTATGCTCAGAAGTGGAAGTAAGTATCAAAGTGGAAGAGGATGTTTAGCTTTCACTTTATGCCATTCAGTGTGAACTATTGAATTCTGTCTCATGAGCTTTTATTAGTTATATTATTTTGTTTTTTACAGAGGTCAATTGTTACATATCAGTAATGTGAGAAATGTGTATATTTGCCTAAAGCAGTAAGAATAAGAGTAAATTTAATAAAATACTAATAGTTTAACTAAATTGACAATAAGTAGAATTATGTTCTTAAACCCTAAAAAGATACGTTTCATAGTTGTAATAGAATTAGCTTTATCATAATGTTAAATTATTATATTCTTGTGTCTTTAGGACTGAAAGAAGAATCAATACAGCAATATTTTTGTCTACATTCTTGAGTGCTCTGAAATAAAACATCAGAACTATCACAAATGAAATTGAATCCATACATTCCATTTGAAATTGTATTATTAACTTCTAGGACATATATTCATATTTGTATATTTATTATAAATGCATACATGTTTCTATTTAAGTTAATCTTAAATTATCAAACTATATTCATCTGTATATTATCTTATTGAACTTTTACTAAATAGAAGAAAGATAATTCCAGCTTGACTATTAATTAACCAATTCATGCACATACATATGGACTTTTCCAGAAAGACTGTTCATGTCTGTGTGTTCATGCTCCAACATAAGAACCCATTTCTGTATAGCAATCACCATCACACACTACAGCTTCTACCCTAAGTTACTTGTCAAGGTGATTGTCATTAAAGTCCACATCAATTCAAAATGATTTAAAATTTATTAGACTGTGGCTATTTCAAGAATTCCTTGATGACAAATTTTAAAGCTAAAAATAAATCTTGAATAAATAATTTATTTAAAATTACTTTTTTAAAGTATCAGAATTCTGAGGAAAGAAAGGTGTCCTGAAGTCCATCTGACCCATCTTTCCTTCAAACAATTAAATCTTTTGTAAGGAGTATCAGACTATGGTTTAATATTCCACTAACACAGGGTACACAATTCATTCCACAGCTCAAAATACTCTTGGATAGTCAAGTCTGGGAGTAGGAAAGTTTTATCTCCAATGGAGCAAGTATTGCAGTAACTTTGTATTCTATATCTCGTGATAGTGTGCAGTCTACATAACCTTAAGTAACTTAAACTGTAGAAACAAAATTGCCTACAGCAGAAGAACACACACAGATGCAGGAGGCTCCATCTTCCCTTTGACTGTATCAGCATTTACGCTGTACTAATAACACTTTAGTGTTATTTTAGAATGTCCTAAGGCTTTATAATCCACACACATGCATATTTTTTTCTTGTTTTTATTCATCAATGATGTCAATATTTTGGAATTCATTAATTATAATATATTACTCTGTGCCATTTTAGATCTCTTTTCTACAAACAGTTCTTTGCAATCAGTGAAAGGTTACAGTAGGTGTCTTTTTATTTGAAAATCTAAGATTTTCTTCCATATCAGTAAGTAAAGGCAACAGTCCCATAAATAATGACTCTATATATTACCTGAGTGAAATATGAGAGTTATGAATAATAAAGCAATGGAAACAGATATTGCACAGTGGAAAAATACACTTTGCCATAAAGGTAATGGTTCAATGTAATTTCTTGCTGTGGAAAATTGGACTATTTTTAAAGTCTCCTTTTATCTTATGAATCACACAAAGGTCTGTTGTGTGAGAACTTGGCCTCTGGATTTGCACATATCTTGTTTCTTTTACAAATGCATCCTTACATCAATATAACCACCTTCAAGGCCAAGTTCTTATTTCAATCACTGCATTATACAGGTGGGCAGGCAAAGAGAGGAGATCTAATTAATCCTTCAAGTCTAAGGGCAAAGGGTTTTATAGAAGGTAGCACTTGTCATGCCATCAAAAGGATGTCCCCACATCTCTCCTTTTTGTTGGCTCTGTACCTCACAAACGAGGTGATTTACTGTTCTGTTCCTAGGTCCTGATTGATTGCTGCTGTACTGCATCACTCACCTCTTTCCTCCTGTCTTTGTCTTTCTGTAGCAACCACTTGATAGATGCCTGTGGAGACTTGGGGGCACACTCCAGGAACGTGGTATTATTTTTTACTCCATACTGAACAATTTCAGCTGCATTTCTATACGCTGAAGAGCAAAAATTAAAGGAGACCGAGAGAACACAATAGAATTTAGAATTTAGAGCATACTCTTCTATAAGAATGTTTATCTGCCTATAAAACTGTGATGAAATATGGCAGTTAGAAAGAAACAAGGATAATCATTTAATAAGCAAACTATTGTAATGCATTTGCCAATTTTATTTAATGTAAAGAAAAGGAGAGCAAGACTATAAAGTTAATTAAGGTGATGTTGATATAGTTAGTATGGTATGGAGGAAATAGAACAGAAAGAATGGTGTGGCTACCATGGGATGTCTTTGAAAGAAGAGGAAGCTGGTGTAAAATCTTGTGACTTCAGCACTACTGGTTGTGTGACCTCAGACAAGTTACTTGATCCCTCTTTGTGCCTTTATCTTACTCATTTCTAAAGCATGGGACATAAATGGGATATAATCTTTTATACTTTTCAACAAAAGTATTAAATTAGATAAAGCACTTAGTGTAATCCTGTGGTAAGTAATTGTCATTCATATAGCAGGGAAAATAATGGACTCTCCTTTTAAAGTACCAACCAACTCAAATAATCATAAAAACACACTTAGCTCAGGTTCTGATCCAGAGTCAACAACAGTATTTGCTATTACCTTCTCTGCCTGTATTCTTATTACTCTGACAATTACCATTGTTAATGGGAACTGATATGCTTTTTTTAAATAGTCTGTGAATAGGGAAATGGCACCTGGATTTATTTCCTCAAGTACATATATGGAAGAATGAAGCAAAATCTTAATTTGTGCCTTGTAGTTGGGGAAGTTAGTAAATAAGAGTGCCATTCCTTACCACAGGAGAGCCCAGACCCAAGGCATTGGAGTCAGGAGTCTCAGTATTAATGTTTGAAAGCAATACATCTGTGGCACCTTCATGAGCCTGGAGGGGGTTCTGTTGGAGATACTTCTAGTTTATGGAGTTGAGGTGGAAGGAAGGGATTAATGGAGAAAGTTTAATAACATGGAATACAATCCATTTCCTGTTAGACAAGGAAAGAAGGAAGGGATAAGACTAATCTAAAACACAAGGCAGATGGTCAACAGTACCCAGGCCCATGCTCATAGCAGGATTATTCACTAGAGCCACAGGGCAAAAGAAATACAAATGTCCAGAAATGGATGAATGAATAGATGAAATGTGCTATATACATACAATGGAATATTACTCAGACTTAAATTGGAAGAAAATTCTGATATATCTTACAATGTGAATGACCTTAAAAACATCATACTAAATGAAAACAGTCACAAAAAGACAAGCTTTGTATGATTCCACTTATATGAGAGATATAAAGAGTCAAATGTATAAGAAATTCATTAAAAGTAGGATGGCTGTTGCTTGAGGAAGAGGGAATAATCACTTAGTGGAAAGAGAATCTGGGAGGATGAAAACTATCTGGCTGGCAAACATACTTAATGATATATAACTGCATAGTTTAAATGCTTAAAATCATGAATTTTACATTATTTCTTTTTCTATAATAAAGAGTACTATTCTTTGTGTTATTCCATAGTAAATTTTAAAAGTAATTTTTTTATACATAAAGAAAATAGTAGCTAAGAAAATCTACAATAACAGTTTGTATGAAAGACTCAACAAATGTACTGGAATTATATGTGTTCTCAGACATTTATTTTTCATGATTTTCAGGACTCACATAAATAACACTTCATTTAAAATTACCACAATAAATATTAAAAATTTTCATGATGCTTTATGGAGCTTTCAAATGAAAGGCTTGAGTCTAATACATTTCTGTTACTGAAATATGATACTGGCCATTGCTAGTGGTTACCCAGATGGAACACTGCCCACTTTCAATACCTTTCAGGTTAAATCCTCTGCACTGAGTCAGTGGATTTCCATGTCTTACATCTTGTCTTCGGCTCCTCCTAAAAGTACAGAAATATGTAAAAGAGATTTGAAATCATTGCCAATTGTGTCATACTAATGCATTCCATTTTTAAATTCACAACTTTTTGGTTGCATGTGATTTCATAAAAAATTAAAATTAAAATCGAGTCACATTTCTCACTCAATTGCACTAATGAGGTGGGTCCTCATCCGCATTTTATTTGAATGAATCCAGTCCCTCCCCATGGGACATTTACAATGGGATGGCCATGAATCTCTTAACATTTACCTTTCCTGGGTAAGTGCTACATTTTATAATTAATTGTGTAAATTATTTCATCCAGAATTTTATAAAATGATAGCTGCTAAAGTATATACTCAATAGTATTTTTCTTCTTGTAAAAGTTTGCCTTAAGTAAACATGTTTTCATTATAAAACCTAACATTTCTAACACTTTCCAGACGTATTTAAGCTTTTCTGAAATAAGTAACACAGAGATAAAACATGGACATTTAGTATAAAGTGAAATAACATTGTTGATTCGCTAGAATAAACATCCCTACTCCCAACTTTGTATTTTGAAAAATTTCAACTCCACAAGTAAGTGGATATATGAGTACAGGGAATGCTGGAATGACTCGATTCACAAATTATTTTATTTTCTACATTCATTTTATACTTTTTCCTATGAAAGTACATATTGTTCATATACTGTGTATGCACATATATGAAAACTTTTAGAAAATAAGATGTAGACATTATATTAGTTCACTCAAATATTTAGCATGTACCCTCCAAGGCTAAATAATCTTCATATATAACAACATTATCTTACTGAAGAAATTAAAATTAATTTAATAATATCATCTAATCACAGTATACAAAAAATTTCCCTAGTCATCCTCAAAATACATGCAAATTGTATTTTAATTGTTTTATTGAATCTCAGATTCACTTTAATTTCAATTTCATTTCATAGAGTAACAGATCAAAGTAAAACAACTGAATGCAATGTGTCCTGGATACAAACATTGCTGAAAATAAGATGGAAAAGCACTCTTTCAATTTTGGGAGAATGGTACTAATTGTTACTGCCACTGCTGAAGAACAAATGTGAATGAGAATACCATTTAATAGGTTTAATTATAAAGTCTTAATATGTTTATACTTAAAGATAAATTATAATATTCAACCAGATACACAGAAATATTAAAGTCACACAGTGATTATTAAACTTACAAAATAAAATTAATGTCAAAATCATCAAAAAACTTAAAAACTTATTTTGATGTTACAGCAAATAGTAAATCGTTAGGTACATATACATACATTTATATTTATGTAAATATAGATATGCAAACATATCATTTAAGTGTTTCTTTTCTGAACAGTCACATGATCCTTATTAAATTACATATTTCTATACAACCTCACACACAAAATACTGCAAGTGTAATATGTTAGGAAATATGATTAATGTTATATTCTAGAATAGCTTCCATATCCAGTTTTTACTGTATTGCATTTGCTGTATTTGAAGTCACAGCATTATTTATGATCAGCCAATTTAAGAGCATATATTATGTGAGCCCTGAGTGGGGGTTCTTCTGCCTGACCTGGTCATTTCCAGTCTTTTTGACAGGCAGTATCATTCACAATGGCTAAATTTATTGTCCTGTGATCAGCACAACGTAATGGCTACTCATTGAAAGAATATAAATTTTCAAGCTGGGCAATCTGAATTTACAGTGTCAGCTTCCAGACATTCAAACAGAAACACATTATCCCTGCTTGGCTTAGATGATGAGATTGGCAAGAGCCTTTTGTGTGTGATTGCCTTGAAGGCATTCTGGAAGAATCACAAGGCATGCTGGTAGGCAGGCAGTATTGTGTTGCATGTAGGATCTGGATTTGATTCAAGTTGCCAATGTTTCATCCATGATAGTCAATTCCTTTGGATAAACAATGAAATCATTTTCTTCTTGTATAGAAAACATAATTACTTGAAGATTAAACTGATTATCTTGTCTCAAACTTTCTAACTACATGTCTTAAACTAGAGCAAATAACACTAGAAGCTAAATTGCAATACTTGATACAAATGAACAAATATTTAAGATACTGGAGTGGTACAAAAATGCTCATTTTGTTTACTGTGAGCCAAGCTCTTTCAGAAATAAAAGAAACAACTAAGCCAATGACACTCAAGAACTTCACTGTGTCAGCATATGGACTGCATTGATGTCTAACTATTACTGTACTTTTCTGATTCTTTCAAAGGACATAATTTTGAATTTCATTTTGAATTCCTCTAAGTGATATTTGTGAACCAGTTAGAGCAACCAGAATAAAACCAGGTAAGTTAACATTATTAAAGAAGGCCAATATGGAAAATATTCCAGATAATCATTTTCATCATTACCTTTTAATCTCTAGAGAAAATGAGTACTGTATATGGGAATAAGAAAAAAGGTTATTCAACAAGCATGTTTATATTCTGCTTAAGTGTAGGTTTAATTATAGTTGGAAATAATTTGGAGAATTAAAATAGTATATAGATATTTTTAGTGAAACTTCCAGTATGCTAGTCAAAGATGAATGTGGGTAGGCTCAGACATTCCATGTATATGTATCATTTTTGTCCAGCTCTTCATAGTAGAATTAAAAGAATTCTAGAGATAACCAAGACAGCTCTTTGAACAGTACTGCTTTCTTTCTCAACCCTGATGCATGATTTAATAATGATACTGTAATAGCAAACAAATGCAAGGTAGCTTCAATTCTTTGTTTATCAAAAAGACATGATTAAGTTCATGATTTGTCCCGGTAGGATGACAATGTACAATCTCCAGTTTAGTACATATCTTACAGAGGAAACTGGGGTTGCAATAGGTGGGAAAATGTGTAACATATTTCAACAGAAACTTCTATAATATAAAAAATATATCTAATATGCAATGATATTGGAAGGAAATTTACTTGAGAAATATTCTTTGTTTGCTGATTTAAAATGCTTGTTGTTCTAAGCCAAGGTCTTTATAGGAAAGGAGTATTGATCTCCAATTCCTTCAAATTACTTAAGAAGTTGATGGACTAATAAAGATTGCAGGAATATGGAGAGATTCAATTTTTAGTCCCCACATTACTTTCTTCTCGGGAAAGTGTAGTGCTTCAGCTTTCTTCAGCACTAAATCTGGTAAATAGATTGAAGATTACCTTCCAGGTATAAGAGATGCCAAGTATTAGAGCTTCTACCCAAAATTAGTGTATGGCCTTACAAATGCTTAGTTGTGGTAATTTTAAAACGTTGTTATCATATTTGTGAGTGTAAAACAAATATGGTTGAACAATTCAACAGAGGACACAAAAATAAAATTTTATTTGAGATTACATTTGGAATTTGTATCCCTCACACTGCTGACCATGATCAGATCTTTCCACCCACTGAAAATTACAAAAGATTGCATGATAATAAGTTTCCAAAATTCCATGTAAAAATCAAATGGAGCCATGGACCTCCTAACTCCTAATATGACAAAGGAAAACATTTTGTCTCCAAATACAGATACAAAGGACTCCTGGTTTAAATAGAGTTCTCTTCATATCTCATGTTTATAAATACTGAAGACCCTCACATGATCCAGCCTGGGCCACTCAGCTCTACTCCAGATTCATGCCTCTTAGTGCCTCTTATCTTCCTCACAGGAATAGCTCATAGACATCACAAAGTTAAAATCCTCTTTCTCCCCCTAATCTCTCCTTTCCCAGTCTTCACTTGATGTCTTTGTATTCCTAGTGCTCAGTTTTTAGACCTTGGATTAATTTTTTAGTTGTGTAACCTCCCACATCCAATATATCAACAGATTATATGAGCTCTACAAAAATCAGACAATCTTCTCTTTTTGCCACTGCTACTTCTTTCTTCATGTACAAACCACCATGATATCTCACCTGGGTTATTAGAGTAGCCTCTCGTTTTGCAGCTTTTACAGCCCCATACTACCCCAACTTCTTTTTTACTGCAAGGTTTCAAGGCAAGCCATATCCCACTAGTGAACTTTTTAAGCCGAAAGTCAAATAGTATCCTTCATGTGGTCAAAACCCTCAGTCACTTTTCCTTTTACTCTAAATAAAAGCCCTTCAATTATTTACAAAGTCCTACATCATCTGGTACTATGAGTTCATTTCTTCCTACCCTGCCCTTTCTCATTTCTAAAGCTAATATAATGAGTAGCCTCATTAACTTTGGTGCTGTTTCTTCAATGTTCTCTGGCATACTCCTGGAATGCTTTTCTCCCAGGTTATGCCCTGGTGCCTTTCCTCATCACATTCAAGTCTTTGTTCAAATACTATGACCTTGGTAATACCCTGCCTGACCACCCACACATTCAACATTGCAAACCTCTGCTTCCCACATGTTTTACTGACCTTCTCTACACTTCTCAAAATAATAGATCTACTAATATTTGATATATTAGTGGGTTTCTATTTGTTGTCTGTCTTCTGCCTTTAGAATATTTTATACCTGAAAGCAAGGATTTCTGTCTTTTATTGCTATTCTTTATTTCATATGCCTAACTAACTTTTACAACATGTCCAGAAAATATTTGGCCCATGATAAATATGTGTTGAATTAAGAGATAAAAGATCAAAATGTTCTTGATGTGTGCAAGTGCTAGGATAGGGTTATTTTAATCTGTCTACCGATAAATATATCTGGTAAAGAGAATATAAGCTATAAAACACTATCACCTCAATGATTTACTTTAAAGATCATTGGTAGTGACTCAAGTAGTAGAGTGCTTGCCTATCAAGCATGAGGACATGAGTTCAAACCCTAGTACCACAAAAGCAAAACAAAACAAAAAAACATTGGCGATCACAACTGAACTGCTTTCTCCCTTTGTTGACATAAATTTTTATAACTTTGGACGCTCATACACATCATGATTCATATCATAAGATGACTGAAAATAGCTATGCCCTCGACTGACCATGGACTCTCCATATTCTTTGTTATGCAATCAGTTCTTTACTGCTGATCCCTTCCAAGTTGATGCAGACTGACGCAGTGCTTCTTCCTGTCTTCCCTGGGATGAAAGGCATTCAGCCTCAGACAGCTCTTTTAACTGGACCAGTAACCACGTACTCACTACTCAAATAGAAAAAGCATGCTCACCAAGATTGAAAAAAAAAAAAAGCAGGGCACCTTTCCTGGGACAAAGCTTCTGCAGCTAGAATGACACAAGTAGTTTCATTCTAGGTAATATTTGTTTTCATCATTTCTACTATTTTCTGTTAGATGGAGGATATGTACTTGACCATAAGGTTATTAAGCAGTATAAGGAAATCCTAGAATGTGTGATATAAGGATATACTGAAGCAAATAAAACAAAACAGAGACAAAAATTAGGCAGTGTGAAAATAAAGTTAAACGGTTTTTGAAATATTTGGTGGGTCCTGGGAGGGATAAGATTTCCAGAGGGGTACAAGAAATAAGAATCTTCAGTTATAAAGCATGACATTTTCTTCATTTAAAAACTGTATGTAACACTAAGCAGTTACTATTTTTGTGTCATTTTAAAAGAAATCAAGAATAGAACAGATTCTCATGATATGGGACACTTCTGCACTACCTGGTGACATGGACTGATCTTCGGTTGAATGTTCAGTACTCACCGTTTCCCAGTTGGGTAGAATCTAGAGCAAGAATGACCATCCCAGGCACAGTAAGGGTCCCTGGCCAGGCAGCAGTCAGCACAGGCTGTGCCATAGATGTGGCAGCGGTGCAGAGACACTTGGGAAAGCCCTTCATTGGAGCTCACATACAACTGTTGCTATAAGAGAAATAGTGATGATTTATTTCAGATGTAGAAGTTAAAAGAAGACTTTCAGCAGGAATGCATTATGCCCACAAACCCTTGGATTCATTTTGAACCAGACTAAAAATGAGAAGCAAAGCACACAAGGGTATAAAGCCAAAATAAATAGAATTTTCCTATGTTAATATGCCTATAACATTACCACTTTCCTGCTTTAAAAAAATGCTCAGAGCACCGTGAAGAATGGCAATGTGTTTTAGACATTGGGATTCATTGTTCTCTCAGATTGGAGCTAATATATTGCAGACTTAAATTATGATGTTTTCTTTTTTCTTTGAATGCTGTCTCTTAGCAAAGCACAAGGAAGCTTTCTTATTTTTCAAGTCTGGCAACATGTTACTTTGTAAATTTGAAAAAAAGTCAGGTTTAAAATAAAGGGTACTTTACATTTGGGAGAAAAAATATTAGTATTATATGAAATAAAAAGACATTTTGGTCATATGTCTTTGAAAGTAACATTATTTACTTATTGAAGCTATTTTAAAATTATTTAGGAGTATATCAGTATTTATATTTAAACATGTCATAAAATTTCTGCATGATCCACCAAACTTCACCACCCAAAGAAATTCATGAATAAGGATTTTATTCTCCTTCATTTGTAAAATGTTGAGAACTTATTGTGCTATTGCTCCAACGCTTTTACTTATGCATAAAAATGTTCTCTGGAGTTGAAAGAATGTATTTCTAATTGGCACTCCTTCTATTCCAAAGGACTAATATTCATAATTCAAGTTTGCATAGAATTTCTAAGATTGGATTAGAATAGACGTGGATATGAGGGATTATTCACACCCCACCCATAGATGTGTAAACATTTAAGAATTGAACCTATGGGAGCACATTGGTCTACCAGGCTATGGAACTTTGCAGGCAGACTTCCTGGGCTCCAATGTCAGCTCAGTCCCAAATCTGCTGTGTAACTTTTCTGAATCTCAGTCTCCTTATTATTAAGATTAGCACAACATAGTACTCACCATACAGAATTTTGTAAGAAGATACATACTATAAGGAATACCCCATATAAAATGCTCAGAATAGTTTCTGATCTATAAATGCTTAATGACTTAATTATAATAGTAGAATAAAATACCAATTAACAAGTTATCAACCAATAAAATTTTAATTCTGATCAACTATCTCAACCATATCTTACTGTACTGTGTCTAATGTAATTATCTTATTCAGATCAAATGACTTAAATTGTGCCAAAATTGATTGATCCCTATTTAGGCATTCAAATTATAAGAAAACAACAGCATGATTTAAAATAAACAGTTATCCAGAAATATTTTGTTCATTAAATAAAGACTAATATAGAGAATGTGTCAGTTTCATTAAAATATTTTAAGCACACCAATTTATTTGAGAAAAGAATAAAGGTTGCTTTATTGGATATAGTTTACTTTTGATTAATCCTATTATTTTTGCTAAATGCAGAATAAGAATGAATTGAAAATAAAAGCATGAAATGGAAAATGACATAGTTAAAGTACTAGAAATGGTACTAAATTCATGGAATTTAAATATTATCCTTTATTTAATATCACCTTCACAATATATCTCCTTCACATATTTCACTCCTCTCACATGAAAAATAATACAGTATGCAGTTGCACAAATGAATTCCAAAATTCAAATAATCACTGCTGTCTTGAATCTGTTTAAAGGAAACATTTTCAACTATCTACAATATAAGATGTTGAAAACCAATGTCATATATGAACTACAAATAGGTGGAAACCTGAAATTTTAGGTTAAGACTGCTATGCCAAACAAATGGCTTTGTGTTCATTTGAATTTTTCGCTGATACTTTCTCTTTCCATTAAATCATTGTAAACAAAGGGCTTCCCTGCTGACTTCAAAGACAATTCTGACTTGGGATCTGCTCTCTAGGACATTAGGCAAAATGAATAATGGCTTCTTGTTACTTGGGAACATGTTTCTTATGCACCATACAAACATTTTTACAGGTGAGGTCTTTAGCTCCATTGTACCATATTTATTTTTCCTCATAAAATTTAGTCAAGTGAAAAGAGAACAAGACTAACTATGGAAAATGACATTAGCTCTAACAAACCAAATATGGTGAAGATCACTAAAATTCTATAATCCATTGTGCAAACATATGAAACTTTTATTTTCTATTCCAAGAAAAATAAGTCTCAGGCTCTTACAGACAGTGTTTGCAGAAGATCAACTTTATTTTCAGCAACTTATATAAATTAACTTTTTGTGAGAAAATCAGATATAGAAATTCAGGTTAGAGAAGTTAAATAATTTGTCCATAATTTATGGACAGGTTGGGATTCAAACACATCTCAATCCCAATCTGAAGCTTACTCCATTCTGCCTATACTACCCTACTCCATTGAGCTGTTATTTTAAGATAATACCTTTAGGGCTAGAGAAGTATGTGTCTTGCACACACACACAGATTGGAGCTGTGTTCTTTCTTCCCATGACCATTGTACATTTCCATGTGATGGAAAATCAGATTAATTAGAAGATTTCTGAGAATTATCATCAAATATTTCTCCTTCAAATCCTGAAGCCTTAGATTTGGGGCTTCAGATTTTTATAAGACATGTGTAAACCCTAGAGAATAGCATTTCCTTAAAAATAATCACAGAAAAATTCATTGTGCATTTCAAACAAGTGACAGAAGCAGGAACTCAAAAGAGGATTGATTGCTCCTTCCAAGCCCTGAAGAATGTTGTGATGTTACAGTAGCCCAAACATTATGCTAAGTTCTTCCTTCAGATAGTTATTTTTATTTTACTTGGCTTCATATACTGTAATATTTGAGAATACAGTATACATAAAATGTTGGAATATCTTTCTGTATGTATGTTCTGCTCTGATGAACTTTTATACAAAAATAAACTATTCAGTCTTACACTAGCAGCCAATAAATTCTATATCAAAATTAAAGATAATTCAGTGCTTTATTTAAAATGGTATTAATTATTTGTTATGATCAAAATAAATTTTCAGAAGTTATGGAATGTCTTTTCATAACAGCAAAATATTTTACATGCAAAGAACATAAAAATTCTTAGTTTTTTACCTTTTTGGATGAGATTTTCATTGTTGTTATAGGAACATGATTCTAAAAGATTAGAAAACATATTTTAGTTTCTCATATAATCTTTTTTAAAGCCATTTTACATTACATTTCTTGTAAAAAAAACCTCAAAAGTCATCATTTTTCTCTCTGTGTATCTATTTCTCAGTAAAGGGCATTTCCTCTTTTGGGACTAAGGGTGGATTTCTTATTGGATAGATATAACCTTAAAAAGTAGTAATCACAACTTAGTTACCATTATAGACATTAGAAAAAATAAAATTTGTGACAACTGAAAAAAGTCTATCTTGATATACTGAATTCATAATTGGATCTGGGTATTCAGGTGGTACAAGCTGTAGAAAGGTAGCCCATCTGATTTCTCCATGACAGAGACAATCTTCATAACACACTCTTGTTCACCTGCCAAGTGCTGCTCTGGGAAGATATATATGGGTCTGAACTAAACTATTTAATTCTCATTATTGAAAACAAAAGAATATTGTTAGAAAAGGACTTTTTATAAATGTGAATGAAAGAAAGAACCTAAGGATTCTTTGAAATAGTAATCCTTCTGAAAGTCATTCTACTCATAACTTTACTTCTTAAACATTACTTCCTTTAAACTTAGAAGTTAGACTTCTGATAGCCTGATGAAGATCCACAGAGATTTATTTGAGAAATTTAAGTGGAAGCAAGTTCTCAAAATCAAAACACATTTTTTTGTGTTTTCTGGAGTCATGTGTATTATAAACACTCAAAAAGAGAAAATGGTGTTATCTTTAACTCTCAATTGCAATGATTTTTGATTGTCATTTATAAGCACACACACACACACCACAAATGTTGCAACTGATGGCCACCTAGGCAACTGCTAATAGTTGATTCAAATTAAATGTAGAGAAGCCAGATGGATTTTCAGGAAATATAACCAGAGGAGTAAAAGAAGAGATCATGGCACTGCACTGTATAAAAATGAAGTGCCTGGTTTTCAAAAGTCACAGTAAGTTTTCTGCAGTACATCAGAGTGACACTCAGCTAAGGAATTTTTTCAACATAAATGCATTATTTCCTCACGTGCTCATCAGTCTATATCATACACACCCGATTATTTTTACCTTGCCTAAGAAAATGTGACATAAACATCATGTTGCCGACAGTTACTGTATTTGGTCACTGTGTTTCTTGATTTTTGACTTATCAATCACCACCACCCACATCAATAAGAAAGCCCACATAGTTTTCATTTCTCTCTTGGGCTGCTGTCCCCCACACACATTCTGACTGTCTTCTTCCATTGAGAGTTTATTCTTCATGATGATAACAACAGAGTAACTCAAGCAACAGACCATAAATACTTCTCACTTGACCAGAGTAGCTCACATTTCTTTAAGACTTTCCCATAACATATATGTCTGGGTAAGTGTCAAACTCACTTAATTAACATTTTCTGATAATCAAAAAAAGATATTTCAGTATTAAAAATTAAGTCTGCAATTTGGCATTTTTGCTATCTTCAGAAAATTACAGAATAAGACACATTACATTACTTTGACCACCAAAAATTGTTTCTGTTTAGCTGAATGAGAAAAATTGTATAATGTACAATGGAATTTTAGTTACTCTAACAAAACAATCGGTTTCTTTACAAAAAAAGCGTGAAACACTACTTAAATGGTCATAGTTCACATTATTTTATGGGCATACTTTTAATGTACTAATCAGTAAGAATCTAATGACAATCTGATGTTAGTATTAAAAAATGGTAAGTTTAATAACACATTGAGAAGTGGCCAGAGCTCCTGTGATTTATATTTACTTGATAATTTTTCCATTTCTTTTCTTTTAAACATTATTAGTAAATTCTAACAGTATTGTATCTTCACTATTTATATGCTCATGCATTCAATACTTTTAATGGCTATGTTAATGTACATTAATGAGTCAATACATTCTGAATCCACTCAGCTAAGCAAAGCAACTCATTGGACTTGCATTCTGCTTCTGGGAGTTCTGAAGTGTCCCTGTATTCAGTCATAGGCCAACTCTGGTCTTTTGTTGTCCTTAAGCCGTTGTTTCTTAATTGGCTTAGTTGGAAATAGTGATCTGCAGCAGGACTGATTCCCTGCCAATGTTCCTTTGTAATTCTAATAGCTCCTCTGGCCGTGTTTTAACCATCTTTTCAAGTATAGATAAGAAGGACCACTTGAACTACCTTGAACTATGGAGGTGGACTCTTAAGAAGGAAATGGCAAGGCAGGACACCCAAAATCCCCTCTCCTGGCTCACAGTTACATAAAGAGCACTGCCCTGACCAGCCAGATCTTAGTGAATTGAACTTTCCCCTGTGTACCCTTTTTGCTTGTTTGTTACTCTGTTTTTCTTTTAGTCCCCAGTCCAAGGACAAGTAGAATAGTACAGTGAAATCACAAGTACTGAGAGAACATAAGGCTTTAAGTGGTAAGGGACAACATTTGTTTTGTTAGCAAGAGTTACATTTGAATTGAAAGCAATAAAACAAGAAAAAAAACAAAGCAGTTTTCTTGAAATTACTGGCTGCAAAAATATGACAAAACTTATCTAACAATCAATAGTGTGAAAGTATTTGGATTTCAGTGGCTTATGAAGCAAATGATAAGAAGCCTTTTCATGGCAAACTTTTCTAGACCTTGACCACAGAACTCATTCTTTAAAAATAATGATGACCAAAATTCTTTAAGTAATGATGACAGCTGAAAAAAAAGTAATCCTTTTATGTTAAGATAACTTGAAGTGTAAGAAAATACTTCAAAAATATTTGTTCTACATTTCTCATTTTATCTGATGTTTATCTACCAGCAAAAAATTTACAGCATTCATTTATTTGATCTTTTGTCAAGTATTTTTCCTCCCAAGTGGCTGTAAGATTAAAGAATTGCATTCATCACCCATGTTTTGAGATTAATAAAAGATATGGTCAAACCTTAAAGACTTCCAGTTCCTCCAGAATGAGCTCACCACTGGCAGAATTATTTGTAGGAAGAACCACCACCTTCTGCACAGTGCCCCGATCTGAAAACAAGGAGATGCCAAGTTTTTTAAAGGAAAAAGACATTGAGAAGATTATTATGCATTAGAACATCAAATGTTATTTATGTAAGTACTCATCAAAAAGAGATTGTATATATTAAGCACTACCATTTGTATGTAATACTAGGATTTATTTTAAATTGGGATTACATGCAACTCAAAAGGAAAAAATGTGAACACGTTATATTTTGTGCATATTTTATCTTAACCATAACTATGAGAAAAGGAAAGACTATCCAAAGTCTTAAGTCAAAGTTGTTAACCGAATGCGTTAAGTGAGTGTAATACATAACTTTAAGCTGGTCCTTGAAAATATTACTTCTTCAAATCAACATTATAAAGTGATGCTCTCATCATTTTCTCACATTGACCTATAATGATTTCATTATCTTAAAAGAGATCACTAGAAATAAATTTTATAATAATTGTATAATAAGTCACTAGTACCAGAAGATTGACATTTGATCTGCAGCTGTTCAAGAGTTTAAACAACGCAAAACATTCTAATCACATTTCAAAATATGGTTGAAGGAGACATCTAACTGTGATTTTATTGCAGGTATTATACCTATTTATAGAATTATTGTACTGTTTCCACATTTTAATCATTTGGCCATGTGCCTCTGCATATTCTTAAAATGCAGAGGAAAATTTTAAATCAGATGGACCAAACAAAAGCCAATAAAAAAAATACTCATATTTCCCAGATATTACTAAAAATAAAGATGTTTAAATAAGTGTAATACATATGGAAAATTTTATTAATATCAAATCAACATTTATAATTAAGATAGTTTCATTTAGTCATGTAATTATTTTCTATGCATATAATTATTCTACTCTATTAATCACATAAATTTTACATTTAAGAGAAACTAGTTGAGATTTAGTCACATGAAGTTAAAACAAATTTGTAAGTAATTTGGTAAAGTAAAAACATGTTTACTAACTAAATGTTTCCTTAAAATGATTAATTATTGGCATCACAAGTATCAAGTTATTACTCTTAAAATGTAACTGTGAATTTATAATTTATAAGTATGTATTATTATCAACAGATATATAGCATTTTTAAAGTTCAATTCAATGTGAAATATTAATAAGAAGAATTACTTTGAACAGGACTTTAAAAAACTAGGACTCATTTAGTGCTTAATACTACAAATCTCAGATCTTACATCTCAGTTGGCCTCTAGTCCATAAGCAAGAGTTGCTATTACAAAAATAATCCTGTTTCATGTTTAGAGTTTGTGTTTTATGAATCTCACTGAAAAACTCAGCTCTAAATTAAAGAGAATTTCAACTTTAAAATGGTGTAAACTAACAAGAACAAAAAGACTATTTAAAAACTATCCTTCTTCAGGAAAACAAAATCTAGAGAGTTTGCTAGAACACCACCTAAAATTATGAGGATATGAGCATATGGCCTTAGAAATTTCAAAGTTCATTCTGCAAATTATAATTTACTGCTTAAATTATACTAAATGAATAATACCAAAGCTTTGCAGCCTCTAGCTATAATTTAAAAACTGAAATTTCTCTGTTTTATTGAGAAGCTTCCTTAGAATGAGTCTTGGAACACTTTGGGCTATTTTGCTTGAAGATAAGTGATATAAGTAAAAATTGGAAATGACAAAAACACTTGGAGATGCTGTGCAGGGATATGTCAAGGTTGAAAATGGAGGAACGTGGTTGGAAATATTCCTTAAATTCTATTAACAATTTATTACACTGAGTGGTGGAAACTTCCAGGGCAATATAACATAACAAAAAATCTAATCAGAAAGCCAAGAAATTGTGACACCTAGAGCAAGATTTGTGTAGTGCTGTGTGGTATGTGTGTGTATATATGGGTGTATGTGTGTGTATGTATCTGTGTGCAGGTGTGTGTATGTGTGTCTGTGTGTAGGTGTGTGTATGTGTATGTGTGTGTGCGCACATATGTGTGTATGTGTCTGTAGTTGAGTGTATGTGTGTATGTGTATGGGTGTGTGTATGTGTATATACTTACACGTGTGTATGTGTGTATGTGTGCATGTGTGTATATGTGGATATAAGTGTGTGTATAAGTCTAAGTGTGCATTTGTATGTAAGTGTGTATATGTGCATATTTGTGTGTAAGTGTGTGTATATGTGTGTGTGCATATATGTGTGTATGTTTGTGTGTGGGGGTGTATGTGTGCATGTGTAAGTTTGTGTATTAGAGTGTATATGTGTGTATATATGTAAGTGTGTGTGTTTGTGTGTATGTTTCCATTTGTGTATGTGTGTTTGTATGTGTGTATGTGTGCATGTATGTATGTATTTGTGCATATGTGTGTAACAGTGTGTTTGTATGTGTGTGAATGTGTGTATTCGTGTGTGTAACTGTGTATGTATGCATGCATGTGTGTATTTGAGAGAGTATGTGTGTGTATATGTGTAAGTGTGTGCACGTGTGTAACTGTGTATGTAGGTGTGCATCAGTGTGTAAGTGTCTGTGTGTGATTGGTGTGTGTCTGCGTTTGCATATGTGTGTTTGCATGTGAGTGAGTGTGTGTATTTGTGCAAGTGTGTAGGTGTGTGCATGTGTGTATGTGTTCGCCTGTGTGTTTATGTATGCGTGTGTGTATTAGTGTACGTTTGTATCTGTGTATGAGTACGTATACGGGTACATGAGTGTATGTGTGTTTATGTATGTGTGTGCGGATGTGTGTATATGTGTTTGCATGTGTGTATTTGAGTGTGAAAGTGTGTGTATGCATGTGCATATGTGTATGTGTATAAGTGTATGTGTGCATGTGTGTGTATGAATGTGTGTATATGTCCATGTGTGTGTATGTGTGTACACGTGCGTGCATTTGTGCATCTATGTCTGTGTGTATGAGTGTAGGTTTGCACAAGTGCGTGCATGCATGTATATGTGTGTACATATGTATATGTGTGTAGGTGTGTGTATGTGTGTAAATGTGTGTATGTATGTAACTATGTATGTGTGTATGTGTTTGCATTTGTGTATGTGTGTGTGTTTATGTGTGTATGTGTGTGCATGCTTGTGTATGTGTGCGTGTTTGTGTGTGTAAGTGTGCACATGTGAATTTGTGTGTTTAAGTGTGTATGTGTGTGTGCAAGTGTGCTGAAGTGTCGGTAAGTGTGTAAGTGTGTATGGGTTTGCGTGTGTATATGTGAGTGTGTATGAGTGAGTGTATATGTTTATGTGTGTATGTGTGTATAGGAGTGTGTGTGTATGAGTGTGTATGTGTGCACACGTATGCATGTTTGTGTACCTGTGTGTATGTGTGTGTTAAGTGTGTGTATGTGTGTGCATGTATGTGAATATGTGCATGTGAATCAAAGTGTGTGTATGCACATTTGTGTGTGTAACCATGCATATGTGTGTAAACGTCTATGTGTGAATGTTTGTATGTGTAAGTGTGCGTATATGTGTATTTTTATGTGTATATGTATTTTTGTGTTTGTATGTGTATACGTGTAAGTGTGCATATGTGTGTGATTGTGTATGTGTGTGTATTTTTGTTTGTATGTGTATATGTGTGTATGTGTTTGTGTGTATATGTGTTTTTGTTTGTGTGTATGTGTGTGCATGTGTGTATTTGTGTATGTGTGTATGGGTTTATTTGTGTATGTATATCAGCGTCTGTGTATGTGAGTTTAAGTGTGTGTAACAGTGTTTCTGTATGTGTGTGAATGTGTGCGCATGTGTATGTTTGCATGTCTATGTGTGTGTATGGGTGTGTACGTGTGCATGGGTGTATGTGTGTGCATGCATAAGTTTGTGTGTACAAGTGTGTGTATTTGTGCATATGTGTGTGTATGTTTGCGGGTCTGTATGTGTATTTGTGTATGTGTGCATGTGTGTGCGTGTAAGTGTATGTGTTTGTATATGTGTGGGTGAGTGTATTTGAGTGTGTGTCTATGTGTCCATGTGTGTGTGTGTGTTTGGATACGTGTGTGTATGCCTGTGAATGTGTGTGTGTGTTTTTGTTTGTATGTGTGCATGTCTGTATGTGTCTCTGTGTATGTGTGTGTGTATGTGTGTGTGTTTGTATATGAGTATATGTGGGTGTGTATTTGAGAATATGTCTATATGTCTGTATACGTGTGCATGTGTGTGTGTTTGCGTATGGGTACGGGTATGTTTGTGTGTGTATGTATGTGTGTGTGTATGTGTGTGTGTTTGCTTGTGTCTATGCATGTATGTGTGTATAGGTGCATGCGTGCATGAGCGTGTATGTTTGTATATGTGTGTATGTATGCATATGTGTTTGTGTGTGTAAGTGTGCATATGTATGTATTTGTGTATGTCTGTACTGCATGTGCATGTGTGTGCATGTCTGTATGTGATGTGTGTAAGTGTGTATATGTATGTGTGTAACTGTATGTGCTTGCATGTGTGTATGTGTGTATATGTTCGTGTATGTATGTATGTGTGTATATGAGTATGCATGTATTTGAATGTGTGCATGAATGTGTATGTGTGTGCACGTGTATGTATTGGTGTGTATGTGTGTCACCATGTGCGTGTATCATGAGTATGTGTGAGCATGTGTGTGTATGTGTGTATCTGTGTGCGTGTTTGTGTATATGTGCATGTGTATGGATGTGTATGTGTATTGGTGTGTGTATGTGCGAGTGTGCATGTGTGTATTTTTTGTATCTATGTATGTGTGCATGTGTGCGTGTGTGAGTATATGTGGTTTTTTGTTTATGTGTGTATATGTGTGTGTGTGCCTGTGTATTTGTGCATGTGTGTATGGGTGGTGTACGTGTGTATGTTTGAATGGGTGTATCTGTATGTGTGCATGTGCGAGTGTGAATGTGTGTATGTGTGCATGTTTGCGTTTGTATATGTGTGTAAGTTTGTGTGTGTGTGTTAGTGTGCATGTTTGTGTATGTGTGTGTGTGTTAGTGTGCATGTTTGTGTATGTGTGTGGGTGTGTATTTGTATATGTGTGCGTGTGTATGTGTTTAAATGTGTATGT